ATATATATATACATTGCAAAATATGCACAATCTCATGTAACATTTTGATATCCTGTGTGATTTGTTAATGGTTGGAGTGTTGTAAATGACCCACATGGCAAAAATTGTCAGGTCCAGTTCTGGCCCACGCAATGCAACACTCAGCCCAGATACCACAAAGAATGATGGCCCTTTCAGTTGGGGTTTGCCAGAGGTGGTCCATGCATGGGCCAGCACCACATTAACCAAACCACAACTGGGCCAGTTGTGGTATGCCATCTTAAAAACAATGCCATCATTGCCAGACCTGGCCCACATCTAGTTAATAAATCCCTTTCCATGCCAGCAGTCAGCCAGCAGGGCCAGTTTGACACCAGATGCCCACAACTGCCTGCTGTGTGGGTACGCTCAGCTAGTACCAACCAAATCTTAGTTGCTAATGTCAGTTCTGGCTGCCATCTTTAGTTGGGTTGATTCCAAAAGATAATCAGCTGTAGGTGTACATTCAAAAATTACTTTGAATGTTTTGTCCCCCATCGCTGAGGCGGGGGACTTTATAAATGCTCTCTGTCTGTGTGTCGGTCCGTCGGTTATCTGTCCATCTGTTACAATTTCTGAAAGCTGCAACTTTCACAAAGAAAGGCTAAAATACACCAAACTTAGTAAGAGTCATCCATGTTGCATGCCTGACCATACCATGTGGTCATAGGCTGACATAATCAAAGCCCCACCCTCTGACAACAGGAAGTGACTTTTTTTGCTTGGAAAGCTCCATCTCTGACCCAGTTGACACAATCAGCAACATATTTTGTCAGAACACAGATAAGAACTTGATCTCACAAGTTTTCAAGCACAAATATTTTTTGGTGAAAGGTGTGATCATGGTGGTGTAGCAAAGTCAAACATCACGCCATTGACATACGTTTGGCTATAAATTCCACATATTTCAGCTAATTTGCACCCAATTCACTCTGATTGATCCTAATCCACCCCACAACAGGAATGCAGTCGAATTTCTGGGGGTGTGGCCTAATTCATCCACAGCACCCCCTACAATTATTTCAAAAATCAGCCCCAGGCCATGCTTTGACCTACTGTAGAATCATGGCATGTGGTACACGTGTGTAACATCTCAGAACCTACAAAAAGGTCTCTTGGAGTCATGGTCCACACCCCACAGTAAGTCGGCCATTTTGAATCAAAACTGCCACTTTGTCTGTTTTCTTGCACATGTATCTGAGCTAACTCCACCTACAGCTTTGAACATGCAGACTTCCCTGCTGCTTGCTTCTCTCAACACTGACTGGTGGTGGGATGGTGTGGGTGTGGCAGAGTGGTGAATGCTGATGCCTCGTCATTTGTACACTGTTGGCTCTAAATCACACATACATTATTTGATCTGCATACAATTTTGTGTGCATCATTAGGGAAACCAGCTAAACACTTTAGTGTGTTAGTGTGACAAGATCACTTTAGGCCCCGGTCAGTCCATCCATCCGTCTCTTCACCTTATGAGATCATTTAAATCAGTGTTTCCCAAAATTGGGGTCGGGATCCAAAGTGGGGTCCCAAAACATCAAGGTGGGGTCCTGAAAAGATTTTCTGAGTTTACATTTTTGCCTTAGTTGTTACAAAGGAGTGAGGTTAGTATATTTAAAATGGATAAATGTAGTATAATAAATATTGTTACTATGCCCATGTTTAGTTGACCTGATACAAATGTTTACCATCCAAAAACAGTTGGGGCCACAGGTCTCTGCTACTGTTATTTTGTGGGTCAAAAGCTGAAAAGTTTGGGAACCAGTGCACTTTGGTTCCCAAAGTTGGGCTTGGGACCCAATTATGGGTCATGAAGCACCTTGGATAATCTCCAGAAATCAATTTAAAGGCTAATAAAATAATTGCTGATGTAATATTTTCCCTATAACTATTACAAAAACACAAAATAAGTAAAAATAAGGATTTATATTTGTGTACAAGCTGTTTAGATTGTCAAAAAGCCTGTGTTTTTAGGGTTGTTAACAAAATTCATGTACTCAGACCAGTAATATTTGGGGTCACAAGATTTTGCCGTGGATATTTTGTGGGTCAGAAGACAAAAGTTTGGGAACCACTGATTTAAATAATGAATGCTCACAGCTGGTCACTACTGAATGGCGATGGGGGACATCAGCATCGGTTGGCATCAAGTTCTATCTTGTAATAAAGACTACAGTTAAAGGAAAATGAGGACTAACATGTCATGAAACTTGACTGTTTCTCACCTGTGGTCGATCAACAGACAGGAGCTGAACCTTTTTTAGTTCCCTCAGACCCCAGAACAAAACCTGTAGGGAAACAAAACAAAAACAACAAATTATGTTTTAATGACAACAACATTGCAATATTTGCTGATTTTACTGATCAATAACTGAAGAAGTCAAACCTCCAGCCTGTAAGTGCTGAGAACAGGCCTGATGTTGGCAGGAACTGTGTAGATGCCTCCTTCTCCTTCTTCTAAATCCGGCAGCATCTGCTGGCCCGACTTGGAGATCTGCAATGAAGTCATCAGTCTCTCATTACTGTGATAGGAAATGTATGGTTCACTGATGTCTTGTCCACAACCCCACCACCCCCATTTGTTGTTTCTAAAAATATCTTTGAAAACATGGCACTGTTTCTAGAAATGTTTTCATCTACACAGAAACAGACCCAAACAGCTTTATAACCCCTGGCAAAAGGTATGTGATCACCAGTCTTGGATGAGCACTCATTCAGACAATTCATTCTGTAAAACAAACTCAGATCAAAAACATGATACAATAATAAGGTCATTCCAAAGTGCAACTTGTTGGCTTTCAGGAACACTCAAAGAAATGAAGAGAAAACATTGTGGAAGTCAGTGAATGTTACTTTTATTGACCAAGCACAGGGGAAAAAAAAATATGGAATCACTCAATTCTGAGGAAAAAGTAGGGAATCACTCAAATTGGAGGTAGAAAATAAGGACACACCCATTCAATTTCCTTTCCCTAAATTGACACCTGCCTCTGATTAGATCTGCTCGTTAGTCTGCAGTTAAAAACACCTGCAGTCATGACACCTTGGAGGGCTGCTGGATGAAGTGGAGTGGCAAGAACCATGGCTCCAACAAGAGAAATGTCTCTTGAAACAAAAGAGAGGATTGTGAAACTTCTTGAAGAAAGTAACTCTTCACCCATGGTTGSTAAAGATGTGGGCTGTTCACAGTCAGCTGTATCCAAGATATGGACCAAATACAAACAGCATGGAATGGTTGTTAAAGCCAAGCGTACTGGTAGACCAAGAAAGACAATCAAAGCATCAAGACAAACAACTTAAGGCCATTTGTCTTGAAAATTGAAAAAGTGCAACTAAACAGATGAAGCATAAATGGGAGGAAGCTGGAGCCAATGTATGTGACCGAACCGCAAGAAATCACCTAAAGGAAATGGGATTTCAATACAGGACAGCTAAAAGAAAACCATCATTGACACCTAAACAAAAAAAGAACAAGACTGCAATGGGCTAAGGAGAGGCAATCATGAACTGTGGATGACTAGATGAAAGTTATCTTCAGTGATGAGTCAAGAATCTGCTTTGGACAAGGTGATGATGCTGGAACCTTTCTTTGGTACCGTTCCAGTGAGATTTATGAAGAGGACTGCCTGAAGAAAACAACCAAATTTCCACAGTCCTTGATGATATGGGGCTGCATGTCAGGCGAAGGCACTGGGGAGATGACTGTGGTTCATTCTTCTATCAATGCACAAGTTTACATTGACATTTTGGACAGTTTTCTCATCCCTTCAATTGAACAGATGTTTGGAGGTGATGAAATGATTTTCCAAGATGACAATGCATCGTGCCATATGGCAAAAACAGTGAAGGCATTCTTTGGCTTGGAGAAAGACACATTCAGTCGATGTCATGGCCTGCAAACAGTCCAGATCTCAACCCAACTGAAAACCTGTGGTGGAAATTGAAAAAAATGGTCCACAAGAAGGCTCWGAYCTGCAAAGCTGATCTGGTAACTGCTATCAAAGAGAGTTGGCACCAAATTGTTGAAGAATACTGTTTGTCACTCATCAAGCCCATGCCTCAGAGACTGCAAGCTGTTATAAAAGCCAAAGGTGGTGCAACTAAATACTAGTGATGTATTTTCATTGGTCTTTTGTTTATCTGATTTTCATGATTCCATACTTTTTTCCTCAGAATTGAGCGATTCCATATTTTTTCCCTGTGCTTGGTCAATAAAAGTAACATTCATTGACTTCCACAATGTTTTCTCTTCATTTCTTTGAGTGTTCCTGAACAAGAACACTTTGGAATGACCTTATTATTGTATCATGTTTTTGATCCCAGTTTGTTTTACAGAATGAAATGTCTGAATGAGACTCATCCAAGACTGGTGATTCCATACCTTTTGCCAGGGGTTGTAGTAACTATGTCAGGCCTGTGTGTGGCACTGTAACTCTGCCATGAAAATACATCAGAAACAGAAGAATGGCGCCTAAAATGCTGTTTCTGTGTGGTTTCAAGGCTGAATCAATAAAAAAGCATAACCTTTTCCACACAGACAGGGCCTGAAGAATGACTGACCTGCAGCAGTTCAAACGCAGCCAGCAGGTCTCCTCCTGATTGGCTGCCACAGTGGATAGGGCTGTACTGCAGGAGGGGGGGAGTGTAGGCTGAGGAGGACAGACGCACCTCAGGAACAGCCACAGTGGCTCCCAGGTACTCAGCTTTCCCCTGCACACAGCATGAGGCAGGAGGAGCTCAGAGACTGCAGTCATGTATTTATATTAAAAGTTTAGCATTCTTTGAAGGAACATATATTGCCCGCCACTTTTCATGCCTTAGTTTTATAGTTAAGTTCAATGTGAGTCAATAAAACATATATTTCATTCTTTAAAAGTTACATTTTATTTTTGAGCTCCTAAAGTCAGTCTGCACTTTTCAGTTCAACCAACCTGAAACTGCAACACATGTTTCACAAGTCAAATGGTATGTGAAATTTTATTTGAAATCACAAGATGTCACACTCAGAGTATCTGTTTGTAATGACTTGTTCTTTGCTTTATAGTTGTTTTCTCATATAGTTGTTCCTTTCTGAAAGGGTCTGCCACAACAAGCAACCTTGCAATCATTATCTGTGAGTAATGGCTATTTTTGAGTTAGCTAATGTTGATTAGCTGTGGCGGCCATCTTAAATTGAGTTGACTCTGAAAGGTAATCTGTACATCCAGTGATTATTTTCTGAGGGTTTCACTAGGATCCATCCGGTGGTTAATGTGATATTTTTCTAACAGACAGCCAAACACACAGAAAAAAACACATCATCACACTCTACCTTGCTTTCAGTGGCAAGCAATAAACAACAAAGACCCAACTGTTTCATTTTCTACAGCTGGTATTACCAGAGCGTCGTCATCGTACACCTCRATGATGATGCGTGGAGGCTCCTCCTGGATGAACTGCAGGTCTCCACTCAGCACCAGGCGGCCCATTGCCAAACACTGATTCCATGTGGGACTGAGGGTCTGATTAATGATCTGACAACACAAAACAAGGCAGCGGCCCAAATCTACTCAGTTAAATGAGTCTATATCTACAATGTAAAATGTAAGACTGCGTGCTTTATTCACCGTTTTACTTTGCKTAAGTGGATTTTAAATAGTTTTTAGCTTAGTTTAGTTTAGAACTTTATCTCATTCAACAAACAAATAATAAAACAAACAATTAATAAAAAAACAAACAAACAATACAACATTGTTGTGTCAAAAAGACAATCACAACGTAGTCAAATGAAAAGGAGCAGAAAGAAGAATAAAATCTTATAACAGCTGCCACCAATTAAAAAAATATATGTATCTAAAAAAACGTACAATTTACGAG